GAGATGTAGATGCGCCCAATCTCCACTGGTGTCTGTATGTCTACAAACTCTTCACACGTGTTGTCATCCTGAAAGGATTGGCAGAACAATAGACGAAGGACAGCCATGCGAGCAAGCAGGGTTTCGAAGAGGATTCAGCACGATCGATCACATCCACACGGTAACGAAGCTCATTGAAGTATCGCGAGAGTACAAAGAGTCTATGTCTCACGTTCATCGACTTGAAGAAGGCCTTCGACTCCGTTGAGACAGAAGCGGTTATCGAAGCCCTGGGCAACCAGGGTATTCCTACTCAGTACATCAGGATTCTTCGTGAGCTCTACAGCAACTTCACGACCAAGATCTCACCATTACAAGCAGATCATCATCGACGTGAAGAGAGGGGGTCGCCGCACAGGACGACAACATCTCGCCGAAGCTATTTGGCGCCTCTCTCGAGAAACGTCATGCGTCTAACTGGAGTGGGAAGACATGGGAGTGAAGATCGACGGTCGGCAACTACACCATCTCCGCTTTGCTGACGACATCGTTTTGATAACACCAAACATCGAGCAAGCGGAACGAATGCTGGCTGATTTCGACTGCGCGTGTGGAAAAATCGGTCTACGGCTGAATCTAACGAAGACGATGTTCATGAGAAACGGATTGGTTTCTGATGCCCCATTCACGCAACGGAACGACCATCTCTGAATGCTCTAGCTATGTGTACCTAGGTCGTGAAATCAATATGATGAATGACCTAGCTCCAGAGCTGAGCAGGAGGAAGCGAGCGGCTTGGGGAGCCTTCAAGAACATCGAGGGAGTAGCGAAGAAGACGAAGAACACCAAGCTCCGTGCCCACCTCTTCGATTCCGCGGTCCTTCCTGCCTTGACGTACGCCTCAGAGACTTGGACTCTACGAAAGCAGGATGAGCATGCGGTCGGCGTTATTCAACGCGCCATCGAAAGGCGCTACAGAAGTGAGAGAGAGGAATCCGGAGCTCCGCACTCCGCCACGATCGAAGATCAGAGACGCCGCCGCTTTTGCCAAGGTTTCGAAGATCAGGTGGGCCGGGCACGTCATGCGTTTCGAGGACGACCGCTGGACCAGAGCGATCACCGACTGGATTCCACGGGATGTCAAGCGAACGCCTGGACGACCGCCTATGCGATGGTCAGACTTCTTCGTGAAAGCTCTGAACGAATGTGTCCCTCGAGCTGAGAGAGTTCATTGGGCAACTCTTGCACGTTGCAGGGACGAATGGAGACGTTACTGGCGCCCGCTCGAGGAACTCGATGATCAACGGGAGCACAGGTGATACAAGGTGCATGGCGTTCCGTACTTGCCTCATGCACTTCAACGTTCTACGCGTGATAAGTGGTTCACCTACAACAGCGTTTTTCTCATTTTGGAACATCCCCACAATAACGATTGTTCAGTAGGGCGCAAGTGACTTCACAAAAGAATTTAGGCGTGAGGTCGAGTGCATTGCGATTGTCTACTACGGACTCACACCATGTTCGACACGCTTAACCTAGAAAAGCAGTCCTCGCAGATTTTTCGTGCTGTTAATGGTCTGTCAGACGCTTTTGCGTTTCATTTTACATTTTTTTTATTTTCTCTAGCCGCTGCTTGGGCACTATTTACTCTTTACTGCCCCAACCATCCAGAATTGAGCCAGTTTGACCGACTTTTTTCTCCGTGGACAGATCTGTTTGAAATGTAGCCTTATGGGGTAGTTTGACTTCCTGAATACGAATATCACATTCATTCAGCCAGAAACTTCCTGGCGCCCACGCCACATACGCCGGTGGCCTGGGGTATTCTGACGCGCAGCGATTGTAGTGGCGGGCATTAAGAGCTATCGGGTCGAGCGGATGTGCTATTCGTGTTCAGGGGGTCAAACTACCCCAATTGATAAATTTTCAGCGAATTTGGTGATTTAGGGTATTTTGGCGCCGAAGCCTGTGGTGCGGGCTCAGTGTTTCGTGCCGTGCGGATGTGATATTTATGTTCAGGAGGTCAAAGTACCCCCAGGAAACAAACTTTCAGCCAATTCTACAAACGCAGAAAAAAGTCGCTCAAAAAGCGGCCTGTTTTTGGAAGATTGGGGCACTAAAGGGTAAATAATGCTGGTTCTTTCATTTTTTGGTGACTTATATTGTGTGTGTCTTCCACTCTGAATGCGTAAACATCGGTTGCTTTCACATCTTCATAGCAGTTCATATTCAACACTAACGTTTTGTTAGAGATCTTTTTTAATTTGTTGACGAAAAAAGGTCCGCTTTTTCATATGTTCTGAGCGTAGAGCCAAAGGAAAGAACTACCGTATTTGCTCACTTCTCGTAAAAACGGTTTCCGACATGTTTTCTTCGGTGGAGTGCATTTCCAGCTTTCCAAACAGTGCACAAATGCTTCAGTAACGTAATTTGTAATGTAATTTTCTATGTTTGTTCCATTCTTCCCATTTAACCTGATTCTGGCTTTTAATTGTGTTCTTCTGAAAGCCTTTTTTAAAAAGGACTATTTGCAGTACAACGCTCGCTCTCATCGTTTTGTATTACATGCTCACATCTGACAGTTTTTTTCAGCTTTTGCGTAAACGAGCGAGGCTGAAAAAGGATAAATCTGTCAAGAAGCCATGGAGCACGACAACGCGGTTAGCTGTTCAATTCACAGTCCGTATTCTTCGTCATCCTTATCATTATAGTGTTGTGTTTATTTTACACCCCATTTGGTCTTCACAAGATGTTCAAGCTTTCGGCAACACCGGAATAAGCAGCGTAGTGTCGCTACCTTCCCATGTGATTACAACATGTAGAACGTTGGCTTACTCCAGACTTACTGTGGTAGGAGCGATAGACGCATTGGCAGGACCGGTTGCAATTGTTGATCACGTTGGCGGGACGTTGCTGAATGATATCATGTTAAATCGTTATTGTTCGAAACAAGATATATAGCTGCTTTTTAGCATTTATCTCATTGTCTGAACCTATACATGTTCTGAACCTTACGTCCTCGCCTTGTTATAGTTGATATAAACTGATATTCAAAGTGGTCTCATTATTAGGCCCGCCCAGTGAATCTCATGCCTTTCTATATGTTCGTCGTTAACGAGTGCAAAATTTATTTATGACATATTCTTCATCAGAATGATACTCGTATAAAAAAATAACAGCTTCAGAATCATCGGATCACCCGGCTATTAATAACTGTGATATTCCAACAAACTTAAACATTGACGACCGTGCGCGCTTTTACTTTTCGGTCACGTGGGACACGCGCGCTTTTTCAAACGGCTACTCATTTATGGAAGAGGGTCTGTGGACCGCAAAAGATCGCAATGCTCTAGACTACGAAACAGGAGCCTTGTGCGTTGCGGTGCCTGCACTTAGACCTTTCTATGTAATTGCATGCAAGACGCGAAGGGAATGATCTTGTACGCTCATGTCCACGCCCATACCATTATCAAAGAGGCAGCATACACATAGGACCACTGGAAGAAGATGACTGATCTGTTGAAGGACATGATCGCGTTGACCGCTGAAGTAGCCCTCCACCGGTAGTGCTGTGCCATCAGAGTCAGTAGGCATGTTCTCCTTACATTGAGGCATCCGGTCGCCCGCCAAAGCCCTCCAACCCGGCTAGCTCAAATTTTTCAGGGCACACGGTCGTCAACGTCTTGATCGAATTAATGAGCCTTTCTCTTCTTCCTGTTTTCTAATCTTTTTTTACTTCTTCATCCTTTTGGCCGCTGTTTGCACTGCATCACTGTCCAATGAGGTTTGGTGGCTACGAAGTGGTAAGAACGCGGTAGACAACTATGACTTCTAATCTTTATTACATAAGTGTTATTACATTTTATATACAACAAATGTAATTGCAAAGAAGACATAACATAGGCACGCTGAACCTTATAGTATGTGAGCCGTTCGTGGCGTTGTACGACTTGCTCGTTATCGTAGTGTTGGGCGACTGGGCGTCCGCTGCGGGTCCGCCGGCCTGTAGTGTATCTCCGACATGCGAGGTTAACTGGAATAGTGTTATGTATGTAAGAGGAGAGAGAGAGAGCTTAAGAGAGAACCGCCACTTGTGGAAAACGAAGGGTAGAACTGAGCCTCGCTCCTCTCGAGCAGCGGCATATATACAGCCAAAAAGGGGGGGGGGGGGGTATATATACCTGTGCAGGTAGGCGGTACAATCGTCTCCCGCCTCCCAGGCGGTCTCTATGAGTCAGTTTCGATTGCAAAAACGCAGAAAACCAAGAGTGCTAGTGTGCATCATCGATATCATGACCGAGGGTCATGACAACCGCTCCTCCTTCCACGTGAAAACGAGTTTCAAAAGAAACGTATAAGGCCCCAAAAGAAGGTAGTAGAGAGTTTCCGGATTCAAAGGTCCTTCGGCGGGCGACCGGACGTCGCTATGTCAGGACGACGTGCCAACTGAAGCTGACTCTAATGGAACGGTGTAGAGCCATTTCTGCAGTGGTCAGCGCGTCCATGTACTTCAATGGGTCAGTCATCTTTCTCAAGTGGTACTCAACTCGTGTATGCTGTATCTTCGATAACGATATTAGCTTCGAACGTAGCCCAGCGTTTACATGGAATAATCCCATGAACAGGGGATCAGAGAAAACCGTGTACCTTGACGAGAGGGAAAACCCTTGTACAACCAATCTTAGAATCACACACAATACTGCTGTTTAATGTAGTGGACAGAGTCGCGGTCTTTTACGGTCCACAAACCGTCTTCCAATACAGTACAATAACTGTTCGATGCATTTTAACAATTTGTCAGCTGATGAGTGTGCGCGATGCTGCTGCGTCAACCGATATCGTCCTTCACGCAGTCCTCTTGCGATCTGTCAAACATATCTATTGAAACAGAACAAAGGAACAAGTATGTTTAGTGTGCACTACTTTGATCCTGCGGCCTCTTCCATACTCGGCACCAGTGTTACGAGAACATCCAATAATGCATCTATCCCTGTATTGGTTTTCGCCTCAGGAAATTGTGTTTAAGCGTTATGTGGAATCTTTCTACAGGCATGCTTGTGCCAACGCACACATTCTCCTGGCGAATCCTCCCCAATGCTGTATCCGGGAGTTCCTAAAACGAAACTATGAGGACGGAGTGCTCCTGCGAACAGTCGATCGCTTAAAGTTTTCCCCAAACACTCTATCGTATCTTTTTCTCCCTCTCCACTGAGAAAAGGAGGAATATCACGGTGCTTAGATTCGGAATCGTTAAGATTCGATGCTCCACAAAGCGTTCTTACGGCAAACACAATTGATTCTGTTGAGATTTCCTGTAAAAGAAGGCGAGTTAGCGAATCTAACATTTGTGCACACACTTGCTCACCTGTTTCAACTTTACCCAGCCATTTCTTTTTATCGCCTGTGTGATGTGGAAGGAGCAGAGCAGTTTCTGCGCTTCCGACTATGGGAACACTCTCATAAAACCATTGTAGAACGAATTGCAATCATCACTCATGAGGAAATGAGTGCAAATCTGGTGAAAACGCTTTCGTTTCTTTGAAACATTGGAGCGGCCTCATCAATCATGCTGAATCGAAGCAACAGTATTTCGTGAATTGGATAGTGCTATAAATTCACGATACGCGAATCGGTTAGACAGCAAGTACGCAACCGCTATACCTCCGGCGCACCCGTCTACGACGTCAACAGTTGCCAATCTGAGGCAGTAAGCCGCCAAATTAAAAGTGTCGTCCATGCAAAGTGCACGCGTGCCATAACTAGCACTGTACAGTCGGCGGATTATAAACTAAAGAGCATAAGCTAGAATGATGGCTTCTCTCTTTATCTTCCTTCGTACGGGAGAGTACCGCATCATCAGTTTTCGCTGGCGCCGGAAATCGACCTAAAATACCGTCTTCCTGCAACTTCTTTCTTCATATCGGAGTTTACCGCTTTACGTCGGACATCAATGTCTTTTGGAAGGCTCCAATCTTGGTTCGCGGATTCCAATGGTTGCTGGATACCACACTGATTTCGACGTGTGAGAAGCAAACTGAATAAGCCTCGTCGGTACAAGAAGTGTAAATACAGCCGTCATTGTCTGCCTTGATCGGCGACATTCCCCTCGAATTTTTTTACAGGATCTGATATGGTCAAAAATTCTTTTAGGACGATACGACGTCGTGCACTCGCTGGAGATGTCGCGTCCATTGTCAAAAGGGCCAGTTCCATTTCATGACCCAATGGGTCGGCAAAACTTCACATTGTAATTGTTTCCATTTTCGGTAACCTAAATCTTCTACATGGGGTGGATGAGATAACTTTCCGAACGAATTTAGATCTGACACACAAGTACCCTCATGAAGGCAGTGCAATTCCTTAATTTTCTTTTTGGAACGAAGAGGCGTTCATAGTTTCTTCCATCATATGATGGATATGGTTTTGCTCGGCGGCATGGAAAATATCTTACAGGCTCTGCCGATGAGTTTTGTCGACATACTACCGGAAATCTGGTTATCGACTCACTTTCGATTTGATTTTTCCATTCCTGAAAGTATTGCCAGTTCGAAAATGAGACCATCTATCTTCCAAGAATATAAATGTAGAAGCAAAAGATAGGATTACATTTGTGACCTACTTCATGCAGTTTCCACAATATATTGGTTGTGCACGGTGGCGTGACCATCATTAGCGTGCTATATCAAATCCCAGTGAGTCTGAAGGTTATTAGAAAAAAAACTCTGTGCTACAACTGCGAGGTCAGAGATCTTCCATACCTTCGTGTTCTCTTCACATAATGATCACGATATAAATCTTGAGTGATAGGCTGACGAACTGCGTCGTAGTGTGAAAACCCTTGCTCATTCCTGTCTTATGGGTCTTTCTTTATTGAATCCCAAAACATCAACAGGAGTAGTCACCCTCGTTTGGAACATAGATACATTTAGAGAGCGTTTTTTTCTGTCAGTCTGGTCGGCAAGTCTTTAGTATAAAGAATGCCCGAGGACGAGTGACGATAGAGGTTCTTTCTTGGGTGACTTCGCACACAGGACATATGCCTTGCGCTGCTGTAGCAAAAGTGCGAACTATTTCAGGGTATAATGCACAGTAGGAAGTCGAACTAAAACTATGACTAAGAAGAAGCGGACCTTTTTACGTCACCAAATTGAACTCGATTGAATTAACTCGAGAGGAAGACGGGCAGTTTTCGTTCTCGCCAGAAACTAAGGTTTCCATGAATCTTTCTTATGCTATAGTCTAATCTTATTCCAGTGATAATAAGAGCACCAACCGTCCTGTAACCAGAAGTGCAACTGTCCGTAATCGTATCGCAGTGTACTCACTTCACGCCTAAATCCTCTCGTGAGTCACTTGCGCCCTACTGAACAATCGTTATTGTCTATTCCCTGGCTCGTCACATGCTTTTCGATGCAGGTTTGTGCACAAAAGTTTACGTTGCAACGTCACCGTAAGCAACGGCGAAATAGTCCCCCTCGGTTGCGAAAATGTCACCCTTACTCATTGTAATAGGACAAAGTTTTGGGAAATTACCAGAGCTCATGGTGAGCGAGCGCAGTGACTGAAACCACGTCGCCCGTTGCTCCGCCCTGCCACGGGTGTGTGGTGTTCTCAAGAGATTCTGACTTCACACCTCTCATGCCCCCTTGCAGACTATGGTGCCTATAGTGTCGCCTAACTTAATTGGTTCCTCTCTGACTCCTCACCTTTTCTCGACTTGACGGTAACTCATAATAATTAAAGAAATTATACATATAAAATACACATATACATACATACACATATAAAACTTACCAGCGATCAAACTTCCGAGACGTTTTGAAAGGGCAAAGCTTGCTAGGAATTCGCTTTCAGAGTACTGGAGCTCCTGAACACTAGTATTGCCCACGGTCTGCGCAGAAACCGTTTGTGAGATGCGCTTCGAGCGCGAAATGCTCAAATTCTTCTGTTACGTGAGCTGCCCAAAATTGCTAAGACTGGTCACGAATCATTTGCACAGGAATGTGACATATGGGGAGGCAATGATGTTTTTGTAATGTTTAACAATGTCTTTATTGTTTCTATAGTTGGTGGAAAAATGAAAAGTTTATTTTTTTCTCCGAGTGAGGCATACAAACAAGCACTGAAAGAGGTTCCTGCCATTCAGCGCACTCAAAGGCACGTTCCGCGATAAACTAAGGCTAGAACCTCATAAACGTGCATGATGATCAAGCAGGCAACAGTAGAGGATATGCTGCTTTTAAAAGTTGAAAAACAGCAAGCAGAACGCACGGCGCTCATGTTTTAGGCCCATTGGCGCCCGATAGGCCCATGCCGGCCTCCGGTGACCGTGTCGTTGTGACATTGCCATTGCGCTCTCTCGCCCGTCGTTTTCTGGCCTCTCTCGTCTCTTATCAGTGTATCGCCGCCTTTCGCAATTCACAATTGATCTTGACCACCTTACGCTCGTCCGGTGATCATGATCAATTGCAATAAAGAGGGTCTTATTGCGGGCGCTTTTTCGTGGTTCCTTCTCTTCAATAAGTCAACAATCACAGGGCAATTCTATTTTGAACTGTATTACCTATGATATTACATACATTTTATTTTGAACTGTATTACCTATTTTATTACATTTATTTTATTACATTCGAACATGGCACAGGATGGTGTGTGATGATGTACCACAACTGTGTAAAAATTGAATTATATCTCCAAAAGCACAGCCACTGCCACGGATGTTTGAAGTACGCGGTCGCACTCATCACATCTCAGAGAGTTCGAATGTATCAGGGATGGCCATCAATCAGGTGTGATGTTGTTGAGGGATCAAGAACAACTAAATGTATCAGAGGTTATAGTACACGAATTGACCCGCGCGCAGGCCAGGGTAAACCTAGTCGAGGGGTTTTTGAACCTTATGAAATGACGAAATTAGCAATCTGTAGGTGCTTTTTATGCAATTTATCCAAACATTTCACGAGCATTTACATTATGTGCGCTTTTGCCCAAGTAAACTGCTATACTAAAAGCTGTGTGCGCGCACATCCCAGTTCTATCATTTGGTTTAGTGTGTTCTCTCCATTCCTAAGTTATAAGAGGGCCAAATTTCTTTAGTTCACTTGCGCTTATTATCAGTTTTGCTTGCTGCTTTCCATGCTATATTTGGCTCAGCTGTGTTTGTCAACGGGAGATCAGGAGTCAGCGAGGCAGCAATTAAGTGAGCCGACCCCACAGGCGAGTCTGCCAAAGGGCGGATAGGTGAGAAATGAGAAACCTTAAGAAAGTCCTACAGCCCCCCCCCCCCCCCACCGCTGTGTCGTCAAAGAAACCGCGTTACATACGCGCGTTGTGAGAGTTTCGCCGTGGAGCTGTGAATGGATTTCTCCACAGCGTCAACTACCACTACCTCCAGCCTTAGCTCCGCGCCCTTTCGAGACAGGAATGGGAGCTACGGACCCGTGGGAGTAGGGTCACTCTATCGGAATTTGTCGCATCGCGGCAAGTCGCGCGGCAACTTCAGTTGCTCTAGCGTACCCATCGAGTTGACATTTGAACAAGGGACAGCTCGTATGTAAACGCCGGTCACCCTGCTACCGCGACTACGCACTATACAATCGCTGTAAAGCCGAAGAGTAGAGTTTCGGCTCTTTGTATGCGACTAGCAACTACTTGCTTACTATGCGATGGAAACGGATGATAGAAAGAATTTTATTGACAGAAATCACAGTAGTAAGTAGGAATGTGTTGAGCGAATGGCAGTGCAGAAATCGACGAAGGCGGCGGTGTCCAGTGCAGGCGGCGACGTCCACCGCAGATTGCGACGGAGTTCGAGGACCGAGTAACACCAGAGAGAGCTCTGCTTGAGTCTTACGACTAGCTCTTATATACAGCCCCTCCCCTATCTTGCCTGAGGAGGCCTGCAAAAAGACCGCCTTCAACTACAGATCTTATCGGAAGGGGCGCGATCTACCCGTGAGAAGCGACCACCCTATGCATCTCTCGCTTTCTACTCAACATCGCCGCATACCCCGGTCCCATTTACCTCGCACATATGAGCCAATATCCGCGCAGGAGAGCATGCAGCGTATCTTCGAGCATTCGCTCATGACAGAGTCCGTTATTGTCAGAAATTAGCACCCACCAAAATTCATCAGTTTTGGGCCATTTTTTCCCTTTTTCCCCTCAATATGCGCCACCGTGAAAGTAATGGTTATCAGGGACGCCCTGACGGAAAAACACTCACTGGCAAGCGCACGCGTCGCGTGCTGACTATCGCCAAATCGATAGCGCGGCAAAAAGGAAACAAAAGCCAGCGCTTCACCACGGCAGTCGTCAAGAAAATAACTTTCTGGCACTTTGCCGTTCAATGGCAAACAAGGGAAAGGCAAGAGGTAAGTAATGATGACTAATCAAAGCACTGAAAATGATTAGGAACACAAGGAATTGGAAGGCAGAAGAAAAGCATGTTTTGTGAATAGGAACATTCCTGAGAGATGTTTTCCTCTAGCTGTGTGT